ATAAATCAGGTTAAATCGGATAAATATATATGAAAGTTTTTGAGATACGTAAATACAGGTTTTTTATTGAATAGGGACCTGTAAAAAAATGAAAAAAAAAAAAAACCCCTTGGGTACACTACGTCGTCGCGACGCAGCGCCTGCGCCGCGACGTCGCGTCAAACGTAGCGGCTATAGGTTAAATCCTCGTATCCCCCAGTTTTGTTGTTTTTCTCCCGTTGCCTCCTGATCCCGCCTTCAAAAGTACACTCCGACCAATCGGATGACACTGCATGCAAGTACTTGTTCAACTTCAACTACAGAAGCTGCGTCTCGACGTTCTGACGGATTACAACGCAAAACGAGTGCGTCACGAGAGGTGATAACCGACGGACAATTTTCACCCGGGTATTCGTTTACAAATTGAATTGTTTATTGATAGTGAGGTGGAATTATTTATCTCCGGGGTGAATTATACTTTGAGTGTAATCCAGTGATAAGTTGGGGCGAAATGCACCGAGAGTGCTCGTAGGACTTGTACAGCTTTTGTGATTTTAGACTTTTGGTGGTTTTTGAGGATTGATCAGGTGGATTTGTGAGATTGGAGATGAACGGAACAGCTGCTCTTGGAGATGGTCCGATGCAGCGGCAACCGTCGCAGAATGACACCGGATCCGATCACCCGAGGAGTCCTAGTCCCTTGAGTGTTCGTCATGGTGAGATTTTTCGCTATTTCTCATTCTAGGTTCAAACAAAAAAATAAAATTCACCCCAACGATCAGATCTCCTACCAGAACATTCCAACAAAAATTATACAACGATTGGAGGGAATTTTCTGGGAAAAACAGCGATTTTCCGGTTTTTTGGAAAGTCACAGAATCACTGACAAAAATCATTGCGAATTTCAATCTGTATCGACAATAATTTGAAATATTTTTTATATACATTCGTCTTGGGTGCAGCGAATGGATATTGAGATAAAAAATGCTCTTACAAAAATTTATTGATCAGCTGCAAATATTTATTGTTTAATTTCTTCGGCAGAATTACTTTTCTTCCTCATTCCGCAGATAAGGGTATTAATCAATTTATTCTTGGTACTAATTGAACAAAATTCTGCGAGAAAAATTGAAAATCAAAAATCGAAAATTTACCGGAGCTCTCGATAACTCATCCATCGAGTTTATATTGTTTTGATTGATGACAAATCTGCAAGGCTACGATCAATGCCAAACTAACAGTCAATGAAAGCAGTCAGTGAAAGCAGAAGAGATAAATAAATGAGTTCTACACCTGTTGGAATAATGTGACAGATAACATGTCAGATACACACGAGGGATGAGGAAGATGAGGATGTCATTAAAAAATTCTCCCCACCTCCAAAAAAAAAAAAATTACCAACCCATTTTGGCCATTGTTTTTTTTATTTTTTTTATTTTTTTTCTTGCTTATTTGTTTTTTTTTTCCTTCCCTTTTTTTCCTTTCTTTTTTCGTTTTAAATTTTTCTTGAATTTTTTGTTTTCGTATAATTTCTCCCGAAAGGACGAAATCCTCTGGTAATTTCTCGTGAATTTTCTCGTCAATAGGAAGGGCGGGAAGGGGGAGGGAAAGGGATATTTCAAATAAATAATTGCATGCACTAGAGTATAGAGTATAGCCATTAGAGTAATCAAATCTCGACCGGACGTCGAGCGGATTGCAATGAGAGTTAAACGGAGAGGCAGTGGATAATAAAAAAAATAAATAAAAAAAAGGAAGAAGAAGCAGGGTGAAGGTGGTAGCCGTGGAGTAGATTTCCAGGGTGGCTCGGTACTGGTAAGGGCGTCAAATTTCATTAGCATATCAATGCTGGTGGATGGTGCGGGGCTGCCGAGCACCACCTGCGACCCCGTATTATGGGATCATTGCAGCCTATGTCTCGTGAAATGCTACTGCCATACATCCGAGGGTGTGTTTGACTAAATTTCACAAAGATATTATTACTGGAGAACAACTTTCACATCGGAAATTTATTGCCATTTGTTCTCACAGAAAATAAAATTCCACCTCACGTTTTTATTTTTTATTTCACTACCACCACTTTTCAGTAAAATAAATTAATTAACGTCATCATTATTTAATTATGGTTATTTATCGAAATTTTTCTATTGATGAATATAATTGAATGTTCATGAAAAACTGAAAATGGTGGAAATTCTCATGAATTGGTAACTGAAATTGTTCAATTTATTATTTTTTATAATTAATGATTTTTTGATCATAAATTTGTGGTGAAAAATGGGCGTGGATATCTTCGCTGGCTGACAAATAAAATCCCATTAAATCAAAACCTTGATGAAAAGCGTGACTAATAAAGTAAGTGGTGTGAGCGAGTAGTCGAGAAGTAATTCACTGTTGTCGACCCCTTCATTGTACGAAAATCACATTTCAGTGACTGCTCGCACCCAGATGTTTTATCAGTGACACTGACGATTGCTAAACTTCCTCCCCTGATTTGCAATACATCAAGGGCTGGAGCTAGTCTTTTTTTATCTATCAAAGACGATTCTATTCGAAAAGAGCTATTTTTAATAATTAAATTGTCGATTGCACCTGCACGTACGACTGCATTTACAAATCACTCATATCACACTCAAAATAATAATAATAATAATAATAATAATATTTTTACTTTAAAATTATTTACCACTTGAGGTAGGAATTATATTTTATTTAATTGAGATAATTTAGACGGCGAAATGATGACACAAATTGAATTCGAAAAATTTATTCTAAAAATTCATGGGTATAATGTAAATATTTCCATCAATTCACCGAAACATTTTCAAAAGCCCATTTCTCGATGTAAATGCTGTTTGCCTTGGAGTCAAGCACTGAAATCCCCTCATGCCTTCAAAATCTCCAGAGGGAAATGGAAAACAGAGATGAAAGAATGACATCGCAGTATTTCTCTCGGCAAACCACCACGAGAGCAATCGCCTGAGAAATTTCCAGTGTCTTCGCCTCGGGAATTAAGCCATACTTACTATTCATCCCCACAATTGATGGAATTGAACGATAAGATTGAAAGTTTCGCGCAGAAGTGTGCAATCATTATTCACCGGGGATTTATGCGAATCAGGTCCAATCAAATTTCGCCAAAAATACGTGGCCCCGCATTTATGGATCTCCCCTTCCCCCGATCTATCAACCCTCTTTCGACATAGAAAAACGATTTCTGGGATTAATCCACATCTCAATTCGATTCCATTGCTCCGACTATTCACACAAACCAAATGAATTAGTCTGCAATAAATAAATGCATGAAGAAATTTCAATTTCATCGATTTTTTTACCCATTGCATCGAAATTCACTCAATTACTCTCCGTGATAAAATGACAATTATCAATAATTTCCCCGAATTCCTAGTGAATGCAATTAATTATCCCCATATTCCCAGAAAAATAATATTAATTCCGCCAATTAGCGCGTAGTAAAGATTAATTTTTAAAAAACTTTGTTGTAACTGTAAAAAATATCCAGTCGACTTCAAGGTCGATATATTATCGATGTTATGAATCTTCATGACGCATTACCTATCCCAATTGTGATATGCACTGTTATGGATCATAACACATGAACCGGTAATAATTTATTCTGAAAAGACGAAACCCTGCCAATTGTTTTTCGTCTTACGTTTGAATTTCCCAGTGCCTCTCGTACCAGACGACATTTGTGTAAAGTCTGGCATATGATACCGATGGATACAACAATCGATCAATGTTTATTTATGAATTTCGTTGTTCCAGGAGTCGTACGTCAGACCGTCGGCCGAGCAAACACCGCCGATCTCTCATAAATAAAAATAAATAAATGTGCATATGAACAATTCGTTGACAAATTGAAATGATCAGCCGATATTTCAATCGATAATTGATAACACTGACTAGATTTTGAGTGATAACTAAAATTCGATTGCTTCCAGATTCCGGAGAATCGAGTGTGATATCACCAGGACTTCCTGAGCGTTACAGTCCAATGGGAACAACAGGCTCTGCCTCGAGTCATGATCCTTACGCATCTCGATCGGTTCAGGAGTGTCCTGTACCTCTCTGTCGTGGAATGCCAACGGATTTTCCTATGGCTCGTTCACCGTATTTGACTGCCCTGGGAAATGGCCACTCACATCTACTCCAGGTTCAGCAGCAGCACGTGCAGCAGCAGCAGCAGCTGTCGCAGTCTCATCAGCAGCAGCAGCCGCAGCCCCAGCACAGCAGTAAACCCAGGAGTTTGGGGCTCATATGCGTCGTCTGCGGGGACACAAGTTCAGGGAAGCATTATGGCATCCTGGCTTGCAATGGGTGCAGTGGATTTTTCAAAAGGAGCGTTCGCAGAAAGCTCATCTATCGGTGAGCATTATTTTAATCTCGGTTTGGAAATTATCAGCGAATTCGCTCTCACTGTTGGAAATCACGTAGTGGAGGCGTGCTGGAGGACACCAGGGGGTCCTTCTGCCTCAGGGTCTCGTTGTTAACTCGTCTCCGTATTATTCACTTTTATGACAATTACGGTTTGATAGAAAATTGGAGGACAATCCCTTTTTCTTCTCTCTTGGCTGATATAATTGCGGACATTCACGCAGTTCGCCTGTGAATTAATACTTTTGCATTATGTGGAAGAAAAAATTATCCCAGGGACTTTTTTCAAGTTATAATGAATAGGGGAGAGCCGGGCAAAATTAGACACTCGAGGAAAAATCTTTTTGAGTTGTTCCCAGTAATTTTTTACGTGTCAAAAAAATCTGGAGACAGTCCAAAAGTGTCCCAGTGTTTTGATAATGATTTTTACAATCGATTTTGTCGAGCCGCATTCCATTTTATCATGTCCCCAATTTTACTCGCGTCTTCCTGGATTAATCACTTAATTTCCCTCTTAAATGAATATAAAAAATTCCAGACCAGAAAGCCGACGGGGAAAACAAGACAAATATGAAAACAAAATTTATCAGTATTAATTGTCCATACGGTTGGGATTTGCCGCCATAAGAAATCACGTAATTATTCCCAGGATAATCCCACCAGGGGCTTACCACCGAGCTCAACAGCCGTGAAATATTCTAAACGATTTTATAACTCCCCTTCCACTTGTCCCGTCATCCCATCGATCAGATTTTTTTTTTTCTCCAACCCTCAACTGCAACATGACATGTTCAAGCAAACATTTGGCTGGTGATACCCTCTGAAGGACAAGTGTGTATCTCTCGACGCGTTGAAAGTTATAGCAGTGCCATGTGGTCTAGCATTGAGTGGGCTCATCCTTAATACCGTCAACAATAAACCCAGTGGTTGGGCATAATTCCGGGCATTCTGGACCCCCGGATACTGTTAGAGGGACTATTACTCCTGGTTCAGCACACGAGGACCCACTGGGGAATTGACGATCCATCTCCATCGGATACCTCTCAACTGGAATCACTTGCTGCCGAGGGCTATTCTTCACGCATCTATTTCGACTTTCTTCAATATTCCCGGTGGACGCGGCCAGGGTACACCATTGACCTACGATAAACTCAAAACTGAAGTCATTAAATTATTTTTCAATGGAATCGATTTTTCTCTCTGGATTTCCATCCCCATATTAATTACAATTATTTATGCAAAGAATATTGTTTAATACGTGGACATGTGGGATTTATTAATATATTATTTGGAATAATATATTAATATTTATATTAATAAAAATTATAAAAATTATAAAAATTATAAAAATTATAAAAATTATAAAAATTATATGGAGAAGAGATTTTTGGAAATATCATGAACGGTAATTTTATCGTGTCATCGTATCTGTCTGGGCGGTTGGGAAATAAGTTTGATCAAATTTTCTATTCAAAATGATAAAATTTTTTTTTCGTTTTATAATAGAGGGGTTTACGGGGGAAATAGATTTCGAATAAAAGAATTCCCAGAGGTCCTTTAAGTGAAACATCGCTGTCAGATGGCCCTGTAATACGGTAAAGACTGAAGAGGCCTTCGCACAGATAACCAATTACTTCCTCGATGGAATGGCAAGGGGAAGAGGTCGTATACTACACCACCACGACAGATGCGTCCCGACGCGCGCCCACAATCGCGGGATTACCCGGGACACTGCGGATTCACACGGCTCTACCCCGAAGATCGAACAGATGCAATTAAACCTGTCGGTGTATCCATTCTATTTTTTATTCTTGTCGTTTCACCCGCTGCATCATCCCAAAAAATCATGATCCAAAAATTACTAACGACACGAGAGAGATTCAGTGAAAATTATCGTCTATGTAACTCCAGAGGAAAATGTTCAGGAAAATTTTATTTTATATATATCATAAAATTATTAATTATACTATCTCTAGCCAGATAAAAAACCAACTGCTTGAAAAAAAATTAATAACACTCATTCTCTAATTGAAAAATCCAGAGGCATGAGAATTATTATTATTCGAATTATTTTCGGTTTTTTTATTCACAATTCGATCGTGTTGTTATTTTAGTTAAATAATATATTAATAACTGTGATTTTAGAGTCAATTTAATGAGAGTCAGATGCTTCCGGTTATTCAAGGCGTAACTCGATAAAGCAAACAATGCCAGTTGCACTGGTTAAGAGGGAGGAGGGGGGAAAATATAGAGAGCGAAATGCGTAAATAAATGTATGATGTGGTTCTGAAGGGTGAATACGTATTGAATGGAATGAGTGCACACGAGCGTTGGACGTTACTCTTTCTCTATCTCCTGTGCTCCATTGGGGTGTGAACGCAAATCAATTTGTGCGACCCCTGCCAGGACGACACGCACCCTCTTCAACGTTTCTCTATCCTCCACCCGTGTGTTAGCTCACTGGCCCCAGGACAAGATAATTCCTGTGTCATTTTTTAACCCCTCTGTACTATACAACGTGACTGACGTACGTTACAATCGCACTAACCAGCAAACTATCCGATTATCTTCAATGTTATCTTCTCACCTATAAGTAGCTTATCTGATAAAAAATTCACCTGTCCAAAATTTTGTCTTCGAGAATTCAATCGAATTTGATAAAAAAATTTAAAAATCCATTATCTCCACTCGAAAATTGGAAAACACCAGGAGATTCGATTTTTTAAATAAATAATAACATGTTTGTTCGTTAACCGAGTCACAGGGTGACTTGGAAATTCTTTTTTCATTCCATTTTATTTCAGTGAAATATTTTACAATCGTGTATTTATTTATTATTTTTGTGAAGATTCATTTTCTAGAGGAAATAAAGATTTTTTTTATTTAATGGGAAATATGTAGTTGGACGGAATTTTCTTGTTTTTTCCTGTGGGGATTAAAGGAATGACAGACTCCATGGGGTCTTCCGCGGAGTACCAGGAGTGCAAGGATTTTTCAAGGATTATGTGGAGAAAGTGGGAAGTGAAGAGACAGAGGAGAAAGAGGAGAATGTCTACGTGACCCTCGCTCCTGGTCTCTTCCATAAAGGATAACTAAATTAGTCTCTGAACAGTGAGGGCGAATTGAATTTAACACCATTTCCTGGAACACATACACTCCAGTGATTTTTCGATGATAATGTCGTGGAACGTGTGCTTTCGCAGCAAATTCCCTGATTGGCTAATTTTCATTTGATTTCAGATGTCAAGCGGGAACTGGCAGATGCATCGTTGACAAGGCACACAGGAATCAGTGCCAAGCCTGTCGTCTCAAGAAGTGCATGCAAATGGGAATGAACAAAGATGGTAATTATGACCATTTCATTTTATCCTCGATTCGCTTTTATCATTTTTTTTTGCTAGATATAAAATCTGGGGGTCGTTATGCTATCGCTCGGTGGTTTTATGGCCCTTGCCGATCCTCAATCGGCTATAATACCAGAATCAATCAGGGCAGGTCTCTCTGTGTGCTCTCCTGGTCTCGTTTTCTCCATAAATATAGTGCACGTACAAGGGGGAAATAGTGTCTCGGTTCTTTCATTCAACTCTTAATACTTCTGCCGCACCTGCTCTTACAATTCTCGTTCTTTTCTCTCTTCCGTCTAACTTTCTTATTACCAAACTTGATGTCGTAAAACAGAAAATTGGATGTACATCGGTCTTATCTCCCTACTTTTTTTTCCGCGAGAAATTTTCTCGATAATTGTCTCTCTTTTTTTTTTAAATTTGATCCAGAGAAAAACTGGTCCGATTTTCAGGGACAGCTATCCCGAATTTTTAACGATTTTCGATAGCTTCAAACAGTAATATATATTGAAAAATATTTATGTACAGTGGAATGGATGGAAAATATATATTTATGGAGAGAACTCCAATAAAATTATCTACAGACAAAAATGACTTGACTATTTCGTATTTTCCGTGACAGATCCAAAAATTACTGGATATTTCAGATTTTTCTCTTTTATTTCTATAGAAATTCTATAGCGAAATGATAAACTGAGATAAGTGCATATTTTCGACGCCAGTTTTCAGCGCATATCTCGGATTGTAATGAACACAGCGAATTTTCCACGTAACCATTTTTTCTAGAGAAGAATGAGAGCTCCAAGAAAGGTATCTATAAAAAAATCGTTATTGTCCTTCATCTTCAAGATATCGTGAAAAAAGTGGTCTTGAAAAATGCACTAATCCTAGTGTACCCCTGCACAACTCCCCAGAAACCGCTCTCTCTTGAACACTAGGTGAAATATTGCGTAATTCTTCTTGAACAATTTATCCCGGTGAAAGCAATACCTATCACCTTGATTTGCGTCATTTAGCGATATTTGTACCGAGATGATGGGCGTACGGATACAAATCCCACAAGTGTACCACACATATCCGTTCATCCGTTGTCGCGTGATGCGGTTCACCGCTCTGTGACACATACGCGGTAATCGGGTAAAGTTGCTGTATGTAAAAGGGAAATAGGGGATGAATGTGCGTTACTATTCGCTCGTATGTGTGTCTCATGGTGACACACCATTCGCTTGGTAAACACAGCGGTCGTTAGCGAATGGTCGCGTGGCCCAACGCCTGAAGGGTTAATTGGAGGAAATAAACGTATGCAAGAGGATGAGACCTAGTGGGCATGGGGTCCTCATCTCATGAAGAAGCGGTTGACATTATTTTTTTTTCTTCTCGCTTTCCAGTTGTTCTCAAAGTACTGTTGCATCAATTACCGCCCGCTGGGCCCATGCAAATGAGAGTGACACAGCCAACGTTTACCGTTTTTTTCTTTTTCATCCTCTCCCCTCTCCCCCGTTTTTTTGGCCAATGATAGGGGTGAAATGGGGTAAATTAGAGAGAAAGAGTGGCAAAAGGAGGTGATGCTGAAAAATATGGAAGAACCAGGGGGAGTTATTATGACGCTCAGCACGCCACAAGGCGAATAATGTCACAACGTTTTTCTAATTACCAAATTCACTTGAAATTCTGCGACATCTTTCAAATTTTACATTTTTTTTATTAATTATCATTGAAATTTAAAACGGATAAGCGTGAGGTTTTTCATAATGACTGCGGTGTGAAATATTATCGATAAAAATTGATCCAGAATTGAAATGATTGCGATAAAAAATTAGAAGACGATTATGGAAAATTTGGACAGACATTTTTATTGAAGCAGCGATAAATTTACCTCTGGAATGAATTTTCCACGCTGGTTACCATTGACTTGGTTTCCCGGTTGTTGAAGGATATCAGGACAATAGTTCTGCCATAATAATTCCGAGTTAGGTAACGCGTCAGACACAAACCAAGAAATTGACGTTAGCCTCGCTGTCAAATGCAGTCGAACGGTCTGATATAACTATATCAAATGAAATTGATGAAAATAAAAATGAGGGATGAGAATTGTTGGACTGTTGCTGGGAGTGAGTACGATGTCTCGACCCCCATCAGCACTCCAATCGACAATGATAATCAATGCACAGCAGACAGTGCCCACCCGATGGTTACATCACTAGCTATAAATGGATTATGATGGCCATTGATTATTCATTATTTTCTATTGTCAGCCGGTACGTTGACCATTGGACATGAAAGAATTAGTCTGATAAAAAGGAATTTTGGCGGGTTCATTTGCAGCTGTTCAGAATGAGAGACAGCCCAGGAACACAGCGACTATCAGACCTGAAGCACTCGTGGAGATGGATCAGGAGAGAGCCCTGCGAGAAGCTGCTGTTGCCGTAGGTGTTTTCGGGTGAGTCATCAATTTATTTATTATTTTTTTTCTATTAAACATTAAATAATGAGTTAATAATTCCATTCGATTTACCGTATAATTTTACTCTTGGAAATGGTCATTTGAAATGTCATTTTGAAAAGACATTTTCGCGCTGTTTATCGCGGATTGACTATTTCATCCGTTAAGTGTAGTGTAGTGTACTTGGACGAATGGAATTTTCGATTCGATCGAGCTCATCATGATCCGGATACTTTGTGGGTTAAGCGTAAAAATACAAAACCCACGCTGATGGTATAAAAAAACAATCTGAGCGCTGAGAATAGGTGAAGAGGCGACGGCACACCAGAAAGGACGCCGTTACCACGTTTGATCTTGGCTTAGCGTTATCTTCAACATCGCGAGCTACAACATCTACATACCGCGATACCACGCCACGCCGAGCATGATCTATCATGAAAAATTACCTTTGACCACTTGACCGTTGGAAACACTCCAGGTAACGCCTTGCGGACTGGAAATAACGGGATAATCAATAGTGTCATAGAGGCATACTATCATCACCGCCAACGAGTTCACGTAACTCGATAAAACAGCAAGGATTTTACAACTTTTATAATAGCCAGTGGCAATTATAAAATTCCCCCAAGGCCTTGCACATTATCGCAATATCAATCGATGCAGAAATTCATTTCTTGAATTTTCATTCTCTACTAAAGCAGATGGATGTCAAAAATATTCCAAGTTTTATTACCGTTGTTACAGATTCCGTAAGTTAATAATATGGATTCCCGGATGAGTAATTTAAAATCTTACATCGTATATCACTGATGATCGACCGGGATTGGGGGATTGGCGCTTCGTCACCGCCATCTCGGAATTTGCCGTACCCCATTTTGTGAAGAATCTCCACGATAATCTAGTTTCTCCGGCTATCGAGATTCAGGATGACATCTCCATTGATGATCTGTTTGAAGAGTGCCCTGGCCCTCTCGCACGGGGAAAAATCAGTTTTGGTTATTTCCCCAGGTATTCTCCAGGTGTTCGAGGAATTTCCGCCTGTGATTCCATTCCCAGTGTCGCCAATTTGCTTCTCCAACTGCTCAGGAATTGGTGGTGATGTGGAGCTCACGTCCCCAGTCGACTTGACCCCCTTCGTCGGGGACTCCAGGATAAAGCTCCTCCCCAGCTTCTCGGATTTGGTTTTTCGAAGTAAAAGCGTGACTTTTCGCTTAAGCACCTCACGAGCAGCGACATCGCTCTCCCTCCACCGAGAACTTCTTTCGCCGCCCTCCAGCATCTCCAGGAGTTCCTCGAACGACTTGGCGATTTCATCGAGAGATTTTTGGCTTATCAGCAAGTATCCCCGGGTGGCTTTCTCTTTTGATTTGAGTACATTCTCAAGATCCTCTAGATCACCTCTCACCATCCTGAGCTTCATCTCCGCCACCTCCCGACGAGCTCTTTCCTCCTTCAGCTGCACCTCGAGTCGCTCATACATCGCCTTGGCAGAGTCCTCAGACTCTGTCAGGGGTTCCAGGAGTTCCTCCAACTCTACCGATTTCTCCTTTCGATAATCCTGACTCTCGTTCGTCTGCTCCTCTCTCTCATCCGTTGTTGATTTTTCATAATCAATCGTCGATTTTCCATAATCCATCGTCGATTGACCTTCATCCATCGTCGATTTTATCTGCGTCTGGAGGTCGAGATGAAGCAGAGGTTTCACCTTCACAGATTTTCCCTCGACACCTGGAACTTTGGCCTTGTCACTCCGCACTGGGAAATGCGGTATCGGTGGTTTCAATTTTGTTCTCTTCGGAACAGCAGCCGCAGGAGAAGATTTTCTGCAAGGTCTCAGCTGACAGGGTCTCTTCTGATTCCTCATGACGGCACTCTTCGGTCTATTTACACTGGAGGAAATCCTCTTCGCCGCTTCCCGTCGCTCAGTCACCGCGGAAACCGTTCTGTTGTCCTTCTGCGGTATCTTGAAGTACCTGTACTCCAACCTGCTCCCGGTGTTATTAAAGTCAAGCCGTTTGAAGACTTCTCCAACGACATCCTCACTGAGACTGGCGTTCCCCCGGAGATCGACAACTTCGAGTGTGGTGTTTTGCTCTAACAGCTGAAGAATTTCACTCCCGATGGCATCGGTTAGTCCGCAGTGCTGAAGATCTAACGCCTTGAGCCACAAGCTGTCCTGAATCGCGTCGATAATTTCAGCAACAGCTGAGTCACCCAAATGCGGATTGTCATTGAGAGTGAGTCGTCGTAATCCGGGCATGGCGTCGAGATTTGGATCGCGATACCTGAGGGAATCCTTCCACGTGTCGTGATAAAGCACGAGCTTTTGACGGGACAAGGCTGAAGCCAGGGCAGGACCGCAGTAGCTGGTCAGGTCGCACTGACTGAGGTTCAAGGATCGGATGCTATGGACATCGGCAATCGTTCGGCAGATCAGACTGCAGCTCTCGTCACCAATGTAGCAGCGCTTCAGGGACAGATGCTGGAGGCTTTCTGTGGAGGCTAGACCGACGCAGAGTGCAGCTAGGCAATCATCGGGGAGAGGAATTCCCTCGAGTTCCAAGCAGGTCAACATCGGTGAATTTCTGATGCACTGGGCGATACTGTGTGACAGCCACTCCAGAAGGTATCTGGTCAAAACCACTGGTGCTTTGCCGATTGCTCTCGCCTTGTCTGCGGAGTTAACTTCCTCCAGGGGTTTTCGACACTGGTACCTGCTGCGGACACTCACCGATTTCAGGGTTCTGTCCAGGGAGAGGGCATTGAGAATAGGCCCCCAGTCGTCCATCTTCACTCGATCTGTCGTAAAGTCCAGGCTGTGGGGTAGTCCCACGCAGATGACCGGTAGTGGTCGGAGTTTGTGCTGTCTGCACAGCTCCATGTAGCACGTGGCGAATCCCTGACAATTTGGAATTGTCATTTCCGGGCCTGGACACGCGGCGACCAACGGCTTTTTTGATCGCCAAGGTCGCCGCATGTCTTGGGTATTGCACGTTGCAATTTTGAGGCTGTTGTCTAACCTTTGATGATGATTATCGTCAGTGGTGATTCAGACATTTGCGAAGGTATCGGCTCTGGGTGAGGGCATTTGAAATTAAAGTGCGCGATGTGAAACGATTTTTCCAGTGGACAAGGGGTAAAAAAAAATGGGCGGGCAGAAGCGACATGTAGTTTGACGCGATAAAACCGGAAACAAAATGCGAGAGTTGAGTGAAGTTGAAGATATTTGAAAGTGGAGTTCATTTGGGGGTGATTTTTTTTGCAGACCACCGGTTTCTCTGGCGATGGCGCGGTACGCAGCCCCGATGCCACTTCCCGCGATGCAGCCAACTGCCAATACCACCAGCACTTCGTCACCCCCTCGGCAGGATGTGGAGGATGGTAATACCAATTTATTGAAAATCAATTGATTTCTTCACGACTATCGAATTAGAAGTTAACTATCTGTGGATTGCTTACCCGTTTATTCTTTTGTGGCTGTAGGCAATGCATCGGAAGACAGCATAGACGTGACAAATGAGGAGCCCCTGACACCCCAGCGAAATCTATGCCCCCAAATGCCCCCTGTGATGCCGTCATTATACTCCCCAGCGAGTGCTGAAACCGTGTACGAGACGAGTGCACGTCTCCTCTTCATGGCTGTCAAATGGGCCAAGAATCTCCCGTCATTCGCAAGTCTGCCATTTCGCGATCAAGTTATACTCCTGGAGGAGGCGTGGTCCGAGTTGTTTCTGTTGAATGCAGTGCAATGGTGTCTTCCACTCGAATCGTCACCTCTCTTCAGCGCTGCTGAACTCACAGCCCTGACACTATCCCCACACTCCCATCCCCATTCTGGGATGCACACACCAAATGGGGGTAAACCCAGTCAAGTGGCTGCCGATGTTCGACACCTGCATGATACACTTCAGAGATACAAGGCTGTTATGGTCGATCCAGCTGAGTTTGCCTGCATGAAAGCCATTGTGCTGTTTAGACCAGGTACTTATATTTTTTATACTCATTTTTAAACAAGTCATTGCATTTTTAAATTCGCTTTATTTATATACCGGCGCGTATATTTTATATGAAAATATCCATTTCATTCAATTTAATAATTATATTTTTTGAAATTATTATCTGCACCTGTGGGAATTTCAATCGATATTTTCAAAAAACTCATCAATAAAAATCTTTTGTCGCCTCTGCACTATTTAAATGTCATTTAAACTCCGGCCCTTGCTAATGTCATTGCTCATTAGAAAAATCTCTCGCTTGAATCGAATCGCTGCACAACTGAAAGGGGAATATAATTTGAATTAATTAAATAAAATTATTCATTGGAATTGAAATAATGGTCAATCATTGATTTGAAATTGTTCTCCTTGATGTGAAGAGACTCGTGGACTGAAAGATTCGAGTCAAATAGAGAATCTTCAGGATCAGGCCCAGGTGATGCTGGGCCAGCATGCACGAACCCAGCAACCGGGCAGTCCAGCGAGATTCGGTCGACTTCTACTCATGCTTCCTTTATTGAGAACAGTACCAGCAGCTCGAGTGGAATTAATCTATTTCCACAGGACGATTGGTAACACCCCGATGGAGAAAGTCTTGTGTGATATGTACAAGAATTGAATAGTTTCAATGAACTGAAGTGATTGATGTTCTTTCCGCATAGTTACACAGAGAAAAAATATTTCTCACTCACAGGGAATAAATCCTTGATTCCAGGAACTCTCGGTAGTCGTTATTTATATTATCCGTTGGAATTGGCGAATTTTTTTTATTGATTTAACATTAAATTCCCGCTGGGAATTGCCAGAAATTTTTTTTATAGTCTAGAGTTATTTTTTTTCATTTTGATAAAAAGAGTAATTTATTTAAAAAATTGGTCTCGTTGGTTTTTAATTGAAAATTCTAGAATCAAGAGACTTTTTCTGAAGATAAAGAAGTCTTTGTTGTCTGTGTGTATTGAGCTGGAGGCCTAAAAGCTACTGAAAATATTACCCTAAAAATATGAAAAATTATAAATGAATTGTCGGCCTCTCAACGGAATCAATTTAATAACCATGTAAAATAGAGAAATGTTAATCCTAGATGCGTAAGGTTCATAATTATTTGATAATGCAATAAAGAATGCATGGCAATTACCGATAATTCATGAGGGCTGGGGAGAAGCAATGTATATCAATGTATTTATTTATCACTGGGCAATTCAGGGGTGAGTCGGTAAAATAAGATGAATCAATTTTTTTTACTGAGAATTCCAAATCATTGGGCTATCGGCAATTTCGAAAAATCTTATAAATATCTTGGAAATATCCGGAAAATCTTAAAGAAAAGAGCATAAACAAATCATAGTAATGGTGGAGGGGAATAAATTGGGGCTTCAAGTAAAAGAATAAAACCCCAACAATAAGTGATATCGAATCATCCAGTTTCACCCCCTCATCCCCGAATTAATAGTTCTCGTAGAATTCGGAAACGTCGACATATATCGCCATGTGATTACCACTCCGACGTTTCAGATAATTCATGTTGTGATAACGTCGTTGTAGATGTGAATGTATCGTCAAAAATTGAACGATTCAAGTGATTCATAATGTAACGATTACTCTATATTTAATTGTATTAAAACGAGCTATACCAAAAGGAATAAATCTGTTGACTCATTTCCCCCGACTCTTAAGTATCGATTACCCCTCGCCTCCCGCCCTTCCCCCCACAGAATCAACATTCTAATGGGCTAAATGTCACAATGGGGATGAAATCCCCGGGATTAAATCCCGTCAGACTGAATTCCAAAAGTGAAATCAAATCCGAGTGGGTCTTAGATGCGAAAATTCATCCCCATGGTGGTGGTTATATAGGCGTACATATTTATTTATTGCCAAGTAATCCCTGACTCCGACCCCAGAAACTCAGCCACATGGCAAGGACTCACTCCCTGCGGTACACTCCGGGCCCTTATAAATTACACCGAAGTTGAACGAGATTTACAAGGGTATGCTCAACTTGTCAAAACCGCTCGGGAGTTAAATGTCCTTAATGTACATTCAATTGTACATTTTTTTTATCCCTCCCCCACCCCCCAGGGGTTGAAATCGATCGACTAAATATGATGCTACCATATCATATTATTGATCTCCAACCACAAGTTGTAATTGTCTCGAATATTTCCCTCTTGACTGATAAACTGCCAGATTACAATTATTCCAAATAATTACCGGACAGTAATAAACAAAAATCAATAAAACCACCAACTTCTAACGCAATTCATCTGGATAATGAATTCTAATATAAATTCCGGGCCCAGGGAATCAAAGTATGAAACCAGATACGTATGTAACGAATTCCGATAGAGTGATTTGATGAAGCAGCAGGACGAGAGGAAAACCGAGAGAGAGAGAGAGAGAAGAAAAGCCTGGGGTTGCTCGGATAGTATTGACTCGGTTTTGCGGTACGTGGGCGGAGTTTTGGACTTGTTGTGCCCAGGGTGGAAGTTGGGGGTGTACTAGGGGGTATGGGAATCCAGTGAGGATCAGACGAGAGGGCCCGGGAGAGAACAAGAGGGATGGAAAATTGTCAAACCACCCCACCTCGTACTTGTTCGTCGGGGGGGGGTTGATTCTCCCCCACTATCTGGCCGACAACAAAATTCCCGTTGAAGGGTGACCCAGCAATGGCGCCGGGACTTGTTGTATTTCGCTTTCGAGGTGAACTACCCCGATTTTCCCTTCTACCTTCTCAATTCTCGTATTTCTACTGAACGGATAGGGGTTAAAAGGAAGGTAGGGGGTAGTTTTGGCAGTGGATGAGGAAGGAAGGGGTGGCTTTCGTTGTGGATGAGGGAGTGAATGGGGGGGGGGAGCGGTGTGGGGGTAGTTTTCATCGTGGGTGAGGGGTACTGGGGGTTGTTGGGTGCGGATAACGGGGAGGAACACGTCGGCTGAGATGAAGAGAGACAGAGGAAAATTGGTGGGAGGGAAAAGCGCAAGAGGCTGTATCGCACCAGCGAAGTGGCATCCATTTATTTTATTACATTATCATACCAACTACGCGTTCGATAAGTGGTAAGCTTTAAACCCGGGGGTTCTCAAATCCAACGGGGGGTAGTCGTTGTTGTTATGTAAGAGGCACTAACCATTGATTCTCCGTCCTGGCTTCTATTATTTTTGCTATTATCCGGTAATTCTTCCGGTTATTGACTTCCCATCGACAGTTTTTCGGGGGTGGATTTTAAGGGCTCTCTGTTTTTCTTGTTGTTCACTTAATTTTAGCTGTTTTTCTTTCAATTCGAGTGGTTTAATTCAGAAAAAGATTCTTGGGGAAAATTCTTGAGGTGCATCCAGTGAGGAATTGATTTATTTTATTTATAGAGAGGGTTCGCGTGGAGAATTGTTATTTTAAAATATTTTGATTTTATTTGTTGATTATAATTATTGAAAGCGATTATTATAGATGATTGTTGATGAAGTTTTAATTTTTTTGAATAGTCTTTGATGTTGGACTCCATCGAGATTGCGGGGGGCTTGTCTTTATGAACCCGGGGTTGTTGAAATCCAAATTTTTCACCGTGACTCTCCACAAAATCACCCTTATATGCGTGCGATACACTGGTCCACAGAGGGTTGAACTCGTGTTTTCCGGTCACGTAGTTTGAGATAACCCCGAGCCATTCGAGAGTTCGACGAAAAAGCCCTGACTTCATTCGCGGATATACCACAAAAGGGACAGTGTTAGCATATACTTTGTCTCGTCCTCACTCGACAGATTCGATTTATGAAAGAGTGAAAAGAATTCCCTCGGTGCTACCAATTTTCCATTAATTTCGTCGAATCCATGATGGAAAAAAAATGAGAAAAAAAAAAGAATTTTCTCTCAGTGAGATTATCATAATAATATAATATTCGGAATGCCAAATTCACTTGCAAACATGAGAACTATCAACTCTGAAATTATTATTTAATAAATGACCAAAGCACTCATATTAGATTTTTTTAGTGAACCTTTTCTGGGGTTTCAATGGAGATGTGAGTTCGACATTGGATTCTGGAGTCTTTTGAGTGTAATTAATTTAAAAAATCGTTATGAACAATTTATGAAAGTTGAAGGGATGGAGGACTGAATTAATCTGAATGATTTATGAAAATATCGAGAAGATCGACATTCAGGATCGAGTTAGGTTTTGGAAGGTGTCATGTTGGATTTGATATTTTCAGGGGATTTTTTTATCGCGTCGGAGTACATTTTTCCAGGATTTGATGGTGGAGGGGTTGGAGTGTAAAAGAGGCTGCAACGGTCAGGGCAGCGAATCCCCTGTCCCTCACAGTTTTCCCTCACCCGTTCATCCTCTCATGGCTTTCCCAAAAATCAATAGATACACCATCGACAAACCTGTGCGGCTGGTTGCTCATAAACTCTATTACACAATGCGTTAAAATTGGAAAAATTTACATACACTGGTGATGAATTGATGCCACAGGACGAGGTACTTTCACGGGGATGAAATCAACGACAGGATAGGGCCATTTCTCTTCGGAACAATTCAGTTTTTTTTTTATCATGTTGTTATAAATTCGAAACCATCATTGTTAAATTCTGAACTAGGATAACTGAATCTTGTGATTATTTTCGAACTGGAATTTTTTACTTTCCGATTTTCCGATTTTTTTCGTTTTCGGAAGAAAAAAAATAAATAAAAAAAATAAAAGTAAAAAATATTAAAAATTTTGCGAATAATTTCAGTTCAGCGGAAAAATGATGGAAACGCGAAGATTTTCGACTGATGATGAATATAAAATAGATGAAGGTGAATTTGAAGGGGATTGATGGGAAATTATTTTTTGAATAGAAAATGTCAGGCATCAAGGGAGTTTTCAGTGGGAGTTGAGAAAAACAGTGATTTCTTCGAGGATTTTACTTCGACATGATGAATGATGAATTTGGAGCACGGGATGTCTTTACTTTAAAACAACATCCATATCTAGGTAGTACCAAGTGTTGCGTGAAAATACGTCAAAGGGATGACACTTGTGATAGCCTTTTTTTCCGAGGGAGAGAAGCTAAAACCCCATAACGTACGATACTCAATACAAGGGGGAAACGATTTTAAACCCCTCTTCAAAGTCCTCGACCTCACTTCAAAGACACCGATTCTTTCCTTTTTTTACGCATATTAAGAATCTTGTTCTCATTCGAGATAAAATACAACCCTCCGCACCGATAATCTTGACTCCATAAATAAGAAATCTTAAAATACACGGAGAATAAAATTATTAGCAATTTGCCAGGGCTCAAACTTGATTGTTTAAACCATTTAAACCAAATGGAATCAGACTTTTTAGAATATTTTTGACGAATGACATGGAATATGGAATAAGTGAATTTTTTCAACGCCAATTTTTTGCCGATATCTCGGAATTGAAGCTCCATTGCGCATTTTTTATATAAACATTTTTTATAGAAAATGATGAGAGCTAGAAGAAAGGTATCTACGAAAAAATCGCTGTCTCCCTTCAATTTCGAGATATTGGCTAAAAATTGGCGGAGAAAAAAAATCGCTTATCCTAGTCTACCACTTCGCTATATAATTTTTCAAATAAATTAATGAAATATTAAAAAATTCTAATATTCATATAAATAAATTAATAATTAATAAAAAAAATGGAAACCCCAGGATTCGAATACCTCCGAGGGTAAATCCTCCAGTCACATTACCGACATATTTTCTCCAGAATTTTAGTTCCTTCGGCCGATGTTCCGCCGAGATAGCGCCATCATCCAATCACTCAATCCGCCGCACTCTAAAATCTCAACAATAACGATGAGATTCAGTCCTCTCATTCATAAGAACGAAAAAAGATAAATGAGAAATTATCATGGGGCTCTAGAGCTGCTTGTGATGAATGTGCACAAGTCCCTGCACCTCCACTAACTCACAGTTCAAATAATTCTTACGTAATTCAGTGGTGAATAAATCAATAATTCAACCGAGAATCTAATCAATTATCTCCCTGTGTCTATCATAAACTCTAGTCAATGCTCTGTCAAATGAATAAAAATGAATCGATGAATAGTTTTGGTCCGCTGATCGGAGCTATCGATGAGGGGACGAGTAGTGTCAGATTTTTGGTACGTAATTCAATTTTTATTAATTAATAATTACTATCTCAACACCCCTATTCATTCTATCATTTATTATTTAAATAATTGATCAATATGAATTAAGATGAATTATTCATGATGTCAGGTATTCGCAGCAGATAATTCTGAAGTATTGACATATCATCAAATTCCAATACCATTATCATACCCGAGAGAAGGATGGGTTGAACAGGATCCTCTGAAGATCCTGAACGCAGTCAGAGAATGTCTGAATCAAACTGTCATTAATTTACAACAATTGAGGATTGATCCGGCTGACATCGTTGCGATTGGTATTGCCAATCAAAGGGAGACGACAGTTGTCTGGGACTCATTGACTGGAGAGCCTTTATATAATGCTATCGGTGAACTCATGGAATATTAATTTGAAAACATTTGTGTAGTAATAATGTGGATGATTAATTAATCCTCCATTGCAGTGTGGATGGACATGCGAACAACTTCGATTGTCGACGATATTTTGAAGAGCATTCGTAATCAAAATAAAAATTACCTCAAGCCACTGTGTGGTCTCCCAATTAGTCCTTATTTCAGTGCTTTAAAGTTGAGGTGGCTTCTGGATCATGTGGCGAAGGTTCGAGAAGCTGTAGATTGTGGAAGGTGCATGTTTGGTACTATTGATTCATGGTTAATATGGGTGAGTACTCTATTCGATCTTCAAATATTCATCAATCATCTGAGAAAGCCTGAATAAAGAATTTAATTATGGAGAATTAAATGAAGGAAGACAATTTATATTTGGGATTTCAGAATTTAACTGGAGGTGTTCATGGTGGTGCTCACAGTACGGATGTTACAAATGCCTCGCGCACAATGTTAATGAACATCAGGACGTTGCAATGGGATCAAACCCTTCTAGGCTTTTTTCGAATACCAGAGAATATTTTACCCCAGATTAGAAGCTCATCTGAGATTTATGGGCATATCTATGAAGGAACTCTGAAAGGAGTGCCCATATCTGGCGTAAGTATTCAAAAGTACGAGAATGAGAAATAAAAGATATCGATAATGTTGGATGGAATAAATTAATTAGAACGTTAACAGTGTTTGGGAGATCAACAGTCGGCTCTAGTCGGTGAGATGTGCCTCCAGAGAGGACAGGCAAAAAGCACTTATGGCACTGGATGCTTCATGCTGTACAACACAGGCACTGCTGTAAGTTTTTCCAATGAAATCATCAATTTCCATTAATTAATGACAGTTTAATTGAGGGAGAGAATGTCAATGAAGATTGCAGTGTCCTAAAATGAATGTTTTTTTATTCAATTTTCGGACAATGAAAATTCATGCATGTGTTCAGTCAGGATGGAGAATTTTTTATTGGTGTTGTAATTATGTTTCAGATAGTGCAATCTAGACATGGTTTACTGACAACAGTTGCTTATCAATTGGGACCAACAGCCCCGCCGATATATGCTCTGGAAGGTTCCATAGCTATAGCGGGAGGAGTATTGGAGTGGATCAAAGAGAATTTGCATTTCTTGTCTGATGTGAAGGAGTCTGAGGTCATGGCCGACCAGATTCCACCAGGAAATCATGTGACATTTGTTCCGGCATTTTCGGGGCTTTATGCTCCATACTGGAAAAAGGATGCTAAAACGTAATCGTCTGAAATTTATTGGGAATATATAAATATTCTCGACATGGTAGAATTGATAAAGGAAAGAGCATTGAATATTTTTTTTTAATTTTTTCGTTTGTTTTCAGTGTGATTTGTGGAATAACTGAAAACACAACGAGTGCGCACATAGTGAAGGCAGCCCTGCAGGCTGTCTGCTTTCAAATTCGAGATATTCTGGGAGCCATGGCAGAAGACACCGGAGTAAATCTGACAAAATTACTCGCTGACGGTGCCATGTCGAATAATAATCTTCTGATGCAGATGCAAGCAGATATCTGTGGAATATCAGTTGGTAAGTGCCTTCAAGTACTCAATACACATTGTGAAATGTTTAAAAAACAATTTCATTGATTTTACAAGGAAGTCAGGCCACTGATGAGTGAAACCACAGCACTGGGTGCTGCCATGGCAGCAGGGATGGCTCAAGGAATCAAAAAGTGGGATGTTAGAGTTGATATTGCTGTACCGAGTGATACGTTCTTACCATTGATTACAGAAAATGGTAATGGAATATTTGATACAAAACATTGCTAGTAGAAATTCAAAACTTTTTGTTAGTCATAATTCTATGCATAATTTAATTTCTTCCAGAACGAGATATGCTATATACTCAATGGAAAAAGGGTGTCGACAGGAGTTTAAATTGGGACGAACCACCAGACACCAATGGTAAAAAAATTATAAGAAATCATTGATATAAATATTTGTGCTTCCACTGATTTTTTTTGTTTGTTTTTTTTTTTTTTTAGAAAATTGCCTTGCAGACTGTCACAGCGCCACATCAGCTGGTATCTTCGTATTAAGCACAATAATTGTTTTGATGATGGCCAAATATCGATCAAGGCTATGACTGACCAGTAAATCTTAGAAATCACCCAGTGCTGCTGGTCTCAGCCTCAGGGAAATCCCATAATTTTTGTTGCCAAATAAACAATTATTTACTACCAATATCAAGAAGGTGAAATTCTAAATGCAATCGACGTGGTCATCCTCATTCCACGTGGTCCTGTTCATCAGGAGGTTCAATCTCCCTCGGTGGCTTCCCTCGAGAGCACGTACCTTCATTTTTATCGATATTTTCGTCATTCTTCAGGAGAGATTTATTTGATATCGATGTTTGCACTGAGACCATCGGAATAATCAGCCAGGGGTCTTCTTTTATCATCTGTATTCTTGCTCTCGCTCTCTGGGGCACCAGAATTTTGTTTATGAGAGCCCTGCAGGCATAGGACACCTTTGGCATCTTAGGAAATGTCACCTTACTCTGAACTTGCTGGGTAATCAATGAGAATCATGAATTTTTGCACAACGATTCATTAAAGAGAGAATTTTATTTTATTCTTCTGATATGTTCGGGTACCTTGAGAAGATGAGCATAATTTTTATCATCGAAGGGCAGTCTCCCGTAGACCATTGCGTAAAGAACAACCCCCAGGGACCATATGTCCGATAAATGTGGCTCGTAAGGAATACCTCGGAGGATCTCGGGAGATGCGTAGGCATAACTGCCGCAAAAGGTTTCACTCAGGGATACAGTACCACTTTTCGTTTTCATGTGGCCACGGGCAAATCCGAAGTCCGACAGCTTCAGGTTCGAGTGTTGGTCCAGAAGAAGATTTTCGCATTTTATGTCCCTAGGTTATTCTCTCTTATTCATTCATGTTTCAGGGACAGGTATTAAAGGAATGAGTTTGAATTACCTATGGACAACGCCTTTCTCATGGCAGTAATCAATAGCATTGAGAAGCTGAATGAACCATTTGCGGCTTCTAATTTCGTCGATGTAAGTATCACGCCGGATGATTTCCAGAAGACTACCATTCTCCGCAAACTCCATGATAATATAAACCCTGAATAAGTCGTTGTGAAAGAATTGCATCAAGAGTCACGAATTCATTTTTTTTTCGAACTAACCGATGTGTCGTTTCGATAGCCTGGAGAAATCTTATTAAATTCGGGTGTCTCAAGCCTTTAGCTACCTTGATCTCCCTGGGTAGAAATTTTTTGAGGTAATCACTGGGTGCTTGAAACTTGGAGACTATTTTCACGGCTACTTGACAAGCATGTCTGCTAGAATTGGCGATCTGTTGGAGCAACCGTTGAAAATAGAAATAAAACGAATGAAATCGACGCAATTGGAATATTTTGCATTGATTTAAAAAATATCCCGTTCGTCCAAAAAATCAGACGAGTAATTTACAGAATTAATTGAGAATAGGACCTTGACGGTGGCGTACGATCCGGTACCGATTATCTCCCCCAGGGTGTAGCCATGGGATTCGAGGACCGTCTGTTTTCGATCAATCTCCTGCTTGGAATTATCTTTGTTCTCCTGATCAACAGCTCCAGATGTCGATGGAGTCGTTGCTTCATCTGTCTCAGCCATCACTGATCCCAGATCATCGTCAAGGTCATAAGACTCCCGTCAGAACCATTAGTAATGCCGAATCATTCCGGAATTTTTTTTCACAAGGTTGAAAAAAATAGTCATCATTTTGCTGACTGTCTAATACAATAAAAACTGCGAATTTATTTTTAAGGAAACATGCGTGAAGTGAAAGCAAATCGGAAAACATGTGAATAGCTCGTCAAAAAATGTAGTTGTAATATTAATAATTGCAGTGTCAAATTTTTATTGAAATTTCGGGGCTAGTGAGCTCTGGAAATTTAGATTGCTGGAGAAAATATGCGAGCTTATGAGAGCTTGCTAAATATTCTTGTTTGAATTTTTGCCCCTCAATTGAGCGGTTGCGCGCAGATTAATGCACCACAGCGCATGCGGCAAAATGCCCTCTGTCACACGATTCCCAGACTTCGAATGTTTGCCTAATCGTCGGTCCTCGGACATCAACAACTTTTTGATTAATTAATTGTTGCGAAGTGCATTAAAAAGCAAATGTGTTTACCACGTCGTGAGGAGGAATTTTTTAAATCTACGGGAATTCTGTGACATCTTTTCTCGGAGGCACCATTTTCCACCGAGTTTTTACAACTTTTGTCATTCAAAATGGACCTGAAACTCTGAGGATACCACAGATTTACCCAAACGTCTGCAACAATCCTGATTTCTTCTATTGTTGCGAGAATTCACTGGATTTTCTGGATTAACATTCGAAATGGATAAAACTGCTATTGAAAAATTCATTGAAATTACAGGTTATTTTATTTATTTAAAAATAAATGCTCGTGCGAGTTAATGCATCTCTTGCTTCAATCCTCCAGCTTCAGATTATTTTTAATTTTTTTTTCATCGAACGATCTAATCTCACAATTACACGATTTCTCATTTTTTATTGGTTTACAAACAATAATTGTTCGTGAAAAAAAATTTCATACAAAGGGTTCACAGGTGATATTTCGCAAGTGACAAATCAAATTCTAAATTTGACATTTGAAATTGCAGAAGGTGCGGAGAATCGATGATTCATTGTGCAATTGAAAAATACATGAGAATTTTTTATTTTCCTCGAAATCTAAAGAGGGTGAACATTAAAAATGAAATTAATTATGCATTGAATTATTTCCAGTATGACGCCCTTCAGTATATTTGAAGATTATAACCTGAATTTTTTGTTACTGAATATGAAGAAATCAAGACATTTTTCTATATCTATTATACAAAAATCAATCTGACGTAATAATCTAAAAAGTTGGAAAACTCAAACGACATTTATGATTTGATCAGGAGAAGGCGAGGCGAGTGCCATCCAATATCTGACTCTAGCAGAGGGTAACGTTGAGAATGCAATAACCCTATTATTCGAGAGTGGAGGTGTTCCCTTGGATGCTGCACCTCCCCCAGAAGAGCCCGAGGTTCGACCACCAATTTTGCCAACGAGAGAGGTTTTGGTTCCCAGTGAGCCAGTCTGTTCGTTCCCCAGAGCCTCATCCAACGTTTTCGATAGATTCCGAGATTTTTCTGTTGAGATTCGCAGACAGGAGGAGGAGATGACGAGAAAAGTAATCGGGAGTAATCGAGCTGTTCACAGTAAAACCAAGAGACTCGAGGATTTATTCAGACCACCATATGAGATACTCTTCATGGGGTCTTTCGTCGAGGCAAGAGAACAGGCGAAGACGATGAATCGGTGGTTGTTGGTCAACGTACAAAATCCACAGGAATTCTCATGTCAGATATTGAACAGGGATGTCTGGCCAGACAATCAGATTAAAGAGATTGTCAAAGATCATTTCATTCTGTGGCAGGTATGCCGCATTTCATGAATCCATCAATGATTGCATTTATTTATGAAAAAAAAAATTTCATTATTTTCCTATTTCCCATGTTTGTTAGGTACTCTCCAATTCATCGGACGGCAAACGTTACATAGATTTCTACAACGTAACAGAGTATCCGTACCTGGCGATAGTCGATCCGAGAACTGGTGAATGCGTGAAATCCTACACGAGTATCACTGTCGATGGCCTCCTCACCAGTCTCAACGACATGTTAAGCACCTACCCATCCCCAGAATGCAGCACGAGTTCGCCAAAAGTTGAAGAGTCCCATTGTGAGCCTTCTTCATCAATTAAACGCAGTTCACGAGCCGATTCGATGACTAAAGACTCTGGAAGGAGAATCAAAAAATCGAAAAATGCTGACATCCCAACCTCCAGTGCAGGTACTTCAGAAAATTCCGCATCTATTTTTTTTTTTCAATTCTTGAGAAATCTTTCTATATTTCCAGCCTCAAGCAGTAGAACAGGCTTACCGAGCTCAAGCACTGCAATTCGTGGTAAAAGATCTAGGATAGAAATCGCTGAGGAAATACCCGAGATGAGTCAAACTGATGAAGCTGCTGTTGTGATAGAGGAGGTAAGATTAATTCAATCAATTGTTTTCAATTTCCTCTGAGAACCGGGACAGTTATGAATTAAAAAAATATAAATTACTCCAGAGCTCGACGAATAAGAATCTCCCAGAATCTTCGACGAAAGCAGCGGAAGGTAATAATCTCAAATTATACTTTCATTGTATTAACGATATTTGCCTCAAACGATTTGTCGGATTTTCCATTGAAATTCTCTTTTATATTTGCGAACGTCAGAATTATTAAAATTATAAAAAATCTCTTATCTCCAATTTTTCGTCAACAAAAATTCGTGTGACTCTAGTTCCTGTAGAAAATGGAGAGCCTTCCCTCAGATTGTGTCTTCGACTGCCTTCTGGAGGCAGGGAGGCAGTGTCCATGTGCGCCAACGACACAATAGAGGTAAATCGAGATCAATTAAAGCCAATAATGTGTAATAATTCAACCGATCATGTGCTTTGATTGCAGGGCTTTATAAAGCGAATGGAATCGATGGGCTACTCCTCGTCAGACCACACCTACCTAATTCCATTCCCCAAGACAAACTTGGGTGCACTGCCATCGCAGACTCGATTGTCTGACACTATCCTCTACCCCTCCAACACAGTATTCATCACTAAGGTTTAGAGATATTACATTTTTTGATGGAGAAGGATTTTTACAGCAGAGATCGTCAAGTAATTTTTGTATTGGAATTAAGAACTGAGACACTGCCATTTACGATGGAATTTTTTGCTCACAATGCAGACCCGTCCTGCTGGATAGATCGCAAAAAATTGGTGGATTATCCGAGTCACTTCCATACTGCCACCTTCAATTATTACTCTTACCATTTTTTTTGTGGATAATTGTACTTCACATGCAGTTAACTGTCACGATTTATATTTCATTTAACCGTGGAGTGATAAAATTGCATGAAAATATTTCAGGATGATTTTATCATAAACCGTGCTCCTGTGAATTCCTCATCTGTTTTCATCACTCCGGTACTAAGTTCAGTAGCAAAGCAGGAAAAACAAATCGGTCTTCCTTCGTTACTCCTTCATGAAAAATAGTTTATTCAACTCGAACGTATTTCTAACACGAAAAATCATTTTTCAAAAAAGTATATTTCATACATGATCATTTATACGAACATTCCCTGTTCTTTTTCTGTCAATTCGATGAAGATGTTCAAATAAAAAAAATTCTGAAAACTAACAATCGAATTGAATTTCTCCGAACTCGTAGAAATACTTATAATTTATTTGGTATAATGAGTAATTATAATATACAAGTAACATCTCATAATGAAGAAACAATAATTCAGTAAAATGTGTACGACACATTAATCAACCATTAAATTCATACTATATACAATCTGACAATAAATTCAACAGTAATTGGAGAACGAAAAAATATGAACGTATTCACAAAGAATATTGCGATAGGCTAGATAAATATTTGCTTATGAATTTAAATAAATTGGGTCGGATTAGTATTACGGTTATCACAATCTGTGAATCGATGAAGCATTATTTGGAGCCAGGAAGTATCTCAACTAAATTGGACTATCACGTAAATCTGCATAGAGCAGAAATATTAATATAAAAATAATTTGGATGTCGGAGAATTGAGGGACGATTTTGTGTGCTTCAAGCTGATTAATGTTGTGGTTTTAGCGTGTAACTCGGTTGAGCTCGTAATCTAATGCCGCTAACGTCGTCTGTGCCAAGTGAAACCGAAAAAAAAGTGAAGTAAAATAATTAGATATGTGGATGAGAGTCATGATCAATAGTGAAGTGGCAAGACGATTCGATAATACACTAATTCCATTAAATATATCCAGGAAAGAGTAATTATACGACAAGAAAGCAACTCTTTAAAAATTTAACTCGTTTCATCACTTCTCAGTCTCTTCACATCACTAATAATATCGATTTTTCAAACAATTGCGTTAGCGAATAGTCTGCAAATGAAAATAATAATGATTAAATGATAAAAGCAGATGTGATGGGTTTTTAAGCAACAGCAGATTGTCAGCCATCGGTTATAAAAATATTTGCACTACTCAATTCAGTAAATTAATATTATCATTAGTGTCCGTAACTCCGTGGACTCGAATAATTAACGACAAATGCAATATTTGATCTTGAAATAACTGACATTACTGACGATTAGTCTCACAAGTAATACGGCAAAACGTGGATGAAATTGTTACGGTATTTTTTGTTAAATCTCTGATTATTTTTGCTCTCTATCGGGAATTTGTTCAGCTAAATAAAGACTCTGGGTATTGATAATTTTTATGCGAAGAGATCTTGCTCCATACCAAACTGCTCCAAGAAAACACCCATCGGTGTGCGTCTCAGTCCAATTCCTTCGATTTTATTTACTACTTTGTTCTTGATGCTCCGCAATCTCAAAGAAGCGTGGATGAACGTAACTGGAAAAATTTTGAGGATTATCGTTTTTGGCTCTTCGAGAGTAAAATCGAGATTATCCTATCGTAGCATTCTCAGGTATGCATTTAAAAAATTCATGAATGATTTATAAAGTGACAGCTTACCACAGAAAGGCAAGAGAATGCCAATGAAGAAGACGAGAAGAGAGCCCAGGGTATACGCAACAAAGGTAGTTCCAAAGACGATGACAATCAATCCAGCCAAGGGATTCTTTTTCTTGAAATTATGAATCGCTCTACCCTCGGTCGACATGTACGCAAAAATCGCGAGAACAACTGCCATTGCTATCATCCCCAGGAGCATTTTGCCGGGATGAATTAACCTGATATTAAAAGTATTGTCTCAGAAATTACTTGAGTGATTGAACAGTTAAATGAATATTTCGCTCACCCAACGATCAGGAAAATTACGATGGCCATGAAGAAGTAGTTGGTCTGGTAGTAAAGTAAATTTTGTACAACCCTGTTATTCCACTTGTCGAGGTCTTTAAAGTTCGGAATTTGGAAGCGAGCAGATTCCAGAATGAAGTCGTCAAGACTTCGTAAGGGTGGAAGACCCACACCCGACGAACTCAGATTAGTCTTCTCCATTTTTTAATTTATTGTCGAAATTTTATGAGAAATATGAGAGAACTATTCAGACCGATTTTTCTTACGACGGTGATTATTTTCAGACGGTGACGTGACCACACATATTTATTCTCTACTATAGCGCCGCGCTACTACCCCTGTGAATAAAGTAATTTTCTCCATAACCTCGAAAATCGCCCTGGAGAAAAAAAAAACAAATGTCTCCCAATAAATGAGTCACTTGTAACAACAGCAACCAAATATAAAATAGCAATTAAAAAAATGGTAAGTTAGAATATTAGAATAATTTTCGGGACACTCCTTTCCCATGATAATAAATTTCCCTCAATTTTCTTCAGGCACATTTGGTGAAGGACGTCCAACTGCCAAGTGTCATTCCAAAATTGCTTCTAGAAAAACACACGAATTATTTAGTTTCATACGGGACAAACAAAGATGATTACGTGAGTATTCAGATCGAGTCGTAATTTCCAGATCGATTTCTTCCTCAATGTGAAAAAAAAAATATCGAGTCTTATTCGTTTCAGATGTACTGTATGACGGAATATTTGAGGATGTCTGGTATGTACTGGGGTTTGACAGCTCTGGATCTCATGGGACAATTGGACCACACGAGCAAAGACGAAATTCTCGAGTTTATAAAAAAATGTCAGAGCGATTGCGGTGGGATCAGTGCGAGTTTGAATCATGATCCTCATTTACTTTACACACTAAGTGCTGTTCAAATTCTATGTATGTACGATGCACTTGAGGTTATTGATACTGATAAGGTAGTGAAATATGTCAAGGACCGACAATTACCTGATGGAAGTTTCACTGGGGATATCTGGGGGGAAGTGGATACGAGATTCTCCTTTTGTGCAGTTGCCACATTGTCATTACTGGTAAATTTCAATATTTCGTTTTGAATTCATAATGGACTGAATTGAAATTCTGCTTTTATAATTTTTTTTATATATCTATTCATATCTAGGGACGATTAGATGCTATTGACGTGGACAAAGCAGTGGAATTTGTAAAGAGTTGCATGAACTTTGATGGGGGATTTGGATCTAAACCCGGATCTGAAAGTCATGCAGGATTAATTTATTGCTGTCTTGGGCTCTTGTCAATAACAGGTAACAAATGGCATGAATTTGTTTTTAGAATTCTCTACTTAAAAAATGGTGGGGTGCTTTCATGATATCGATATTTTTCGGTTGTAGGGCATTTACATTTGGTAGATGCCGACCGACTGGGCTGGTGGCTTTGTGAAAGACAATTACCATCTGGAGGATTGAATGGGAGACCCGAAAAATTGCCTGATGTTTGCTACTCTTGGTGGGTACTCTCTTCTCTCACAATTCTCGGAAGGTTACACTGGATTGATAAAGACCGACTGGTAAGAACAGAACGAAAAAAAAAGCAGAAGAAAAAAGAAATAAAAACGATTGAGTAGTCAAGAGGTGAAGGGTATTATTACAAATATCTCCCCATTGTATATTTACAGCTGGAATTCGTCCTGTCTTGCCAGGATACAGAGACTGGAGGATTCTCTGATCGACCTGGTGATATGGTAGATCCGTTTCACACATTGTTCGGTCTCACTGCCATTTCTTTATTAGACACCGATCATGGGCTTAAGCCAATTAATCCCACGTTTTGCATGCCTGAATACGTGATTAGAAAAATTGGATTGAAACCTTCTAGGCTAGAAAGATGATAAGTACCTTGTCGAGAATAGCTTTTGCAGCGACACAGGCATGAAAATTACACAAATGTACATTCTTATTTAAAGTATTAAGTAATAAAAGATTCTTAAATTGAAAATCTCACCAATTTCCACATAATCTTAAATTTTTATTCAATACGAACTCTACAACTGTCATATATTACACAAACAATAAGTGAGAAACAATATTCACCATTTCATAAACTATGTGTAAAAATAGAACTCCATTCTTTCGTACGTCGCATAAGCTGAAGGAATGTTCTAAAGTCATTAACTCAATGAACATGTCTGATGAATGGTACGCTCGTATTTTCCCAAGGCAAGAAAAATTCATTCAATTGTCCCTAAAAAATGGTTTCATTCTCTTATTTGCGAGGATCATCGGCCCACCACAACCAAAAGACTTGAACTCTCGCTAATTAATTTATACAGTCATATCTCAGCAATTTTCACCCTCTAGAGCGATTCAATACTCGAAGAGAAACGCACAACGCAAAAGTAAGAATGGATTCATATCAAATTAGTACGAAATAAATTCTCTTTGTCAATGAATAAGTAAATCATCCCCACGTGCTTTCAATAAACATTTTTTCATATATATCGTGACAGTCTTTATGCATTGATACACAACATAAGCCCTCATTCATAGCTCTTATGCGTATAATTGCGATATCATTAATTAGTGCTAAATCATAGTTCCCATTAGCGTAAACAACTCCTCTGCATCCTCATAATTCAAAGATAATGCAAGTGTATTTGGACTTGCGGTGAACTACCGCAATGTCGAAAAGACTTCATCTAAAATTTCAACCATAGCATTTATTATGTCATCTCATAGACTCCATTCAATATATTTAACATTGGATTTGCACAGAGAGAGAAAGTTTTCTGATGTTAGAAAATAAGTTTTTCATTTTATATCAAGATAAAGTTTTCTGGAATAACCAATAATTTTTTTCAAGTTTACAGACTTCTTTTCAAACATCTAGAAATATTTTCCTAACAAAATAAAAGATGTAATCTCTGCGTGCAATAATTATCCCTTAATTATCAGTATCACTCTGTTAAAATATCCTTAAATCTATAATCACGATATACCAAATTTACCTATATGTACAATATTACCACAATTAGTGGTAACGACGATCATCCATAAAGTCACTCATCAAAATTCATATAATGAATTATCCTGTTATCAATTGTTGCGAGTAATTGATTTTTCAAAAGGTTAAAAACCATCTCGAATCAGCCGGAAGCTGTGAGGAGGTCCATTATCAATGAAACATCTCAATGAACAATGATTATTTGGATCTGAGTACTTAGCTACTCAGTGTGCATTAAATCGAAACGGTACCATGAAATATTATGACGTGAGCACCAACTGCTCTCAATATTCAACGTGAAAATAAGTAAATGGAGCATTGGAAAAAAAAAATGCTGAATCAATATTACTCTGTACATTCTCACTGCTCCTGTGGTACCTTCAGGAGAACGGTCCGAGTCCCATCGGCGTCCGATATATTGATCTTCAATTCATTCGTCAGGGCCTCGAGTTTGTCCACAACTCTAGCCCCTGGCTCTACACCAGGTTTTGGCGGAGGCCACACGTCATCCAACGGTGGTTCAATGTACTTTTTACTCAATTTCATGTCTGAAAATTCGGTTTTTTGGTTGAGCGTTCCGCCCACGTGACTCATACACGCTGGATATTTAGTTGGTTGATCGTCGTCGTAACGCGGACGTTTGTAGAGCGGAACCTGAAATACTGGGCTGTAATCGTGGTCTAGTAGACCCTCCACCTCTTCCAGTAGATCGCCGCATTGCTGTAGATCTTCGTCCATCCGATTTTTTGTGAAAAGAAGACTTCTTGAGCGACCTGCAATTAATTCACCTTTTGATTTACAAAAAAAAAAATTCCATTTCAATGAAAAACAATCAATCACTGTTCACCATTGATTCATCCAATTAAGGGATTTTTATGGAATCGGGGTAATAGAGCAATTAGTGCTATTTATGTTGGAGAACCGACAAGTGCTGTTCTTCATTTCTCGAGGGATTTCTTCCATTGGTTCGGATGAAGGGAAATTAAATAAAAATGATCAATGCCTCTCGTCTTAAGTGAATGGATTTCGCAAATATTTTTCTCTTTAGCTATGTTTTAGATCTGGATGATAAGTATTATGCGAATAAACCCTGAGGATTGAGGTCAAAAGACTTCTTGAAGCCATGCATTGCAATTGGAGAAACAAGATCCAGGGCTCATGGTCAAGTAGAAAGTAGTTGAGTGACTTTTTTAAAATTAATCATTCAGTCACTCCCGATTTCTGGCCATTCAATGCACCATCATATTTTAAATTTACATTACCAAGGAGAAATTCCGCTACAAGGGGTTTTCAAAGTTTTAAATTTCGTAAGTCATCATTAAATCGGGGGGAGGGAAGAATTTAATTTGTCAAGGTGCATTTTTAAATAAAAATGTCGACGAAATCTGCAGTGCAGGCGCGTTCTTCATTACTGCTGAGTCAAATATTTCCTGAGAAATATTTGGTCTGATGTTATCGAACTTTGCATATTGTCATTTCGACGAGAGCCTCTTCGGGGTTTATAAACGCAGATGTTTCGTTTAATCACAAATCGAGTTATGACAATGCAAAGAAGATATACCACTCCATTTCCACATCTCTGACATTGTCAGTATAAAACAAAGCGTGGAACGAACTGAACCGTAGGATGTGAAAGGAGCGGAGGAACTGAAAAAACAGGATGAAAAAAAAAATGGAAGACAAGAGAAGCCATGGGCCTTTCACAATCTTTGTGAGGTCAATGTCCCATTGCGACCCGACACGTGTAAGAATACAGTTATGATGGATCACTTCTCAAATGGTTTCAACCGTCATTATAAACGCCGAATTAAAGAATCACGCAGTGAACAACAAAAAGGCATCATTGAATTGGAAGAAAATAATGAGATAATTTAATTTGACGAAAATTCCTGAACCAGTAATATTATTTTACGCAAATACCCCCCGAAAAATTGATGGCTCGAATTAAATAAATAATTTATTTAATCAAATGTCCAGTTGTTGTGCTGTCGCTCCGACTGAATAAGTTCTATCTCGAATCCTCACAATATGAAAATTATACCCTCAGAGTTACGTGCAGAGGCATCTCTAATCCCATAATAATAAATACCTAGACTATTTACGTAAGACTTCTTACCGGCTAGCGGCGGCATCTTTTCCGGCTGCTCTTGCTCCCTGGCGAGTTCACTCGTGTTGTTATTAGAATGTGGCCGTAGGTTTGGAACAGCAACGAGAGCCAGAGAAAGGAGCAGTACCATGAGACAAGTTGCTGGTTGTGCACTCTTGTTACCCTTTTGTATGAGTGCCTGCAATCGCTTGAGCTGTCCCGCTAGACTCTGATTCTGGGTCTGCAGTGCCTTTATACGCTTCAGAAGAGTCATGTTCTCCTCTGTGCACTGCTTAACACGATCCTCAAGCCCATCAACGTATTCCTTTTTCCGTTTGCGGGAGTCCTGAGCGGAAATCTTGTTGCGAATTTTACGGCGAATTCTCTTCAATTCTCGCTCTTCTGGTTTTGTTAATGGATAATGAGTTGGCAGAGTTATTCCCTCTTTCTGGAGAAGACGCTTCTCCTCGGCATTTAGCTTGAGGGGTGGATAGCCCGAGCCTGTGTCGCACGTTTCTTCGTCCGAGGTGATGCTTTTGTCGAGACTTACGTCCTCTTGCTTTATATTTACCTACAGGTGCAGAATAATTAAATTTATTCATAAATTCATTTATTCATTATTATTGGAGAAACGAGGTGAACTCAACTCACAGGAATGGCTTTGCTGATAACATTCCCCTGATTGATATGACTTATTTTAAAATTCTTGAGATTTCTCGCCTGTGTTGCATTGATAATCTTGATAGCACGTACATCTTTCATATCTTTTAGACTAACTGGTAGGAGGATAGATCGTGGATGATTACCAGCGCCAGAAGGCGTTACTCGAATCAATTGTCTGATATTTCTCTTGCCCCCGGCATTACGAATAGTAACTGTTGGCTCTTGTTTTATCATTTGCTTAAGTGGAGCGTCTGAAAATTGAGAAAAATAATCAAACATTTGGTCGTTATCTAGGGGGTGGGAGTTAGCGAACTGCCTTGACTTGTGCAAAGTTCATTAAATATTACGTCATCATGCAGTTGCTTCAATACGTGAAGATGACGCATACTGACATACTTTGAGGGAATAGCTTGCACTATTGTTTTTTAATTGATTTAAAAGAAACATTCAATCGAGTGGCGATAAATTTTTTTTTAATAGACTGCAGAGGGAACTGACCTGATTCAGACATGGGCTCCTGTTTAATAACTGGCATTGTCAATTCCGTGTTCTCCACAGTACCGGAATCGACGACCGTTACCATTGGCTCGAATTCCATTTCCTCGGTGATGTCAGTGGCTGGTGATCCCAAGTTGGAGCTCATAACGGAGCGAACAGGGCTGTCGATGCTTGCCATGGAATCGTTGGGACTCCCAAGAGGTTCAAAATCCCCATAATTTTGGGGACTACTGATGCTGTCATTGCCAATTTCAATCTGATCATCATCAATGGGGAGCAGAGGACTCAGCTGCTGCTCACAGGAGAGACTCAAGGCACTGGAGAGACCGCTGTCCGAGGACGACGAGGGAATAGTCTCTAGGTCATTGTCAATCAGATTGAACTGGTCATCCAGGCTGAAGATCGAGCCAAACAGATCGTCTGTGTTCGATGTCATCCATTCTTCCGCCTGGGATCGTAAATCAATCGATTACATTCAAAAAATTAGGCATTTCAATTCGAATAAAATTGCTCATGGTGGTCATTGAATCGAGACCACTGTGCGTCAATTATGCGCATGTGCTTGTGTCTGTGAACGGAATATCCCAGTTTTCTTTGGTCTCAAATAACCCAGATCTACAGAAATATATTTCAAGCGATGAACGAACAGTACCTGAAACGACGATAAAACGTCCATTGGGCGGAAAACTAGAACGGCAACCGAGATACAGTAAAAAAAAAACCCCCAGATACGTACAATCTTATCTACATCGAACAGAAATATGGTATAATGTTTTTTTTCTGATTACACATGTCGACGAATACATCAGGCCCTCCGATGTTACGTGTTATTTTTTTCCGACAACTCTATAAAAAGAACTCGAATTTTCATCTGTGCAAGCATCGATAACACGTGGATAAATTCCCATCGAGAACTAGACGCTTCCATCGGAATATTTATTCCTTAAAATTCTGAGACGGCCTGAACAAACCCCTGAATGTATTTAGTCTCCAATCAATTGATGTCTCCAGCGGTTGAATCCACTGGTGAATGCGAAAGAGATTGTGCACCGTTTCACCAATCTCTCGTTATTTCGTCTCTCTCCTCGGTGCTATCTCTCTCAAATTCATCTTTCACTTGTGTTACAATTGCGATATTAGGCGAGTTGAATCAATGGCCGAAAGTCTGCCCCAATTCCCAGAAATCCGCCTGAACCGGAGAGCAACGAATTCCCATGCCAAGTGTACAGAAAAAAAAACCAATTCAAGGATTTTTCATAATTTAAAAAATTACTGTCCTCATTTTTTCGAGAATAATCCCCGAAATTGGACTTTTGGATTGACAAAAAATAGTTTTCACTGATTTTTTTCTGAAATCCCTCAACCGTCCAGTGAAGCTCTAATAATATAATGTAACATTTCCCGGAAATATACCGGAAATGCCAATCAACAACTTCCATTCATATCTACAACTATTTGAAATTATAAAAAATTATAAACATTTCATAATTCTCGAAGAATTATGCGGGTTAATGTGAATTTTTCAATATCATCCCCAGTTTGACTCCCCATATATCTCCCGCCCCTTCGGGAATTTCGTGGGAAAATCTGAGGTCCTAGCCCGCATTAAAAGATTTTTGGGGAGGTGCGTTCTATTACTGATTTACGATCAGTCCCATAATTATCCGAGGCTTCACCTAAAAACAGGTTTTTGACCTGAGTGCCGGCGCCCCATCCTAAGGGATATTGTAAGGAATGAGGGAATGTACATAACACGGCCCTATCTCCACCCAAAGAGCCATCGGATTCGATAACCAGTTTAGATATTTCCAGATGAACAGCTAGTGCATCCCTGCACCAACATTTCCACTTTACAACATTATAATTTCCAGAATAACCCAAAGAGAATTTTTACTGCAATTATTCTGCTGCCAGCTATATACCTGATAGTCGTTTGGTAGAAATAATTTCTTGGCATACCTCGAAAAATACCCAAAATAAATTCTCCCAACGATAATTAAATGTTAATTACGTCTGCCATTAGCCCACAAGAGTAATCCAGGATCATTACCCTGCGAACTAATAGCTTCATATTCAGTGAGATCGAGGTGAAAGTCTCTTTAAAATTTCTTCAGAGTTAGAACAATTGTGGAATTATAAATTAATGATAAAACCCGCATTCAACATGGCGGCGTACAATATCGGTAATGCCGGCACGTGGTGTAGGTTTGATTCCATATGTTACATGGAACATTACAAAATAATATTACCCCCGAGGAAATCCGTTTTCGCTTTCATCCGCCCTCCCCCACAAATTATCCTTGAATTTTTAATTTCCCATCAACTGCGAGCTCCCAAATAAAATATTCGTCCAGTAATTAGAATTCTACAAAGTAATATCCGGCGGGATTTACATGACTGAAATAAACAACTAAAAGATAACAAGTCGATGTCTTAAGAGAACTCAAAAGATAATAGAGATAGGGAAATTTTTCTTAGAAATTCTTTTACAGAGTGCAATGAGAGCTACAATTTAGGAATCTATACAATTTTCTCATTGTTAGATTCGGAGATATAAATTCATTCTGAAATATAATCTCCTGGATTCCCAGTTTTTGCAGCAACTCCGTAAATCCCTCGAATGTAATTCCCGGTACCATATGTTATTTACGTACTCAAGGAAACTCATCACAGTGGATAGCTCAAGGAAAAAGCATTGACTTAATGATTCGAACAAAGTCTACGATAATTCCCATTGTCGCCATAAAGTCAGAACAAGATAAATCCGGTTATTTAAATTCATAGATTTTCTCCGGAGAGAGGCATTAGAATTCCTACGGCAGTAAAAAATACATAAACGATAATGAACAGTAATAAGTGGCAACAAACAATAGATAGAATTTAAGAATTTAAGAATTTGTTTATGTTATTAATAAATATGAATAAATAGGCGTTCCCCTCCGAAATCAAGGAGTCTCACAGGTGTGCGGTCATTTGCCCGGCAAACAGCCCATGAGTAACGGTACTAAGTATTTTTTAACGGTAAAGAAATTCCTCGGTATTACCAATCCAACAATTCCAATTCTAAAACATCAATAACACCGATCGAGAGAATAATCAAAACGAGGGTTTTTCCTCGGGTTATCGCGTTCCGCATTTTATCGCGTCGAAAAAAACCTTCGGAGTGACTGTGAGCGATTGCTCCAAAAAGAACAGAAAATATCCAATTACTCACCGCAATACTGTCATTGACGTAACTCTCCTTCATCAGGACATCATCCTTTATATTTTCCTTGAGCATCGGGTCCTCCCGATCGAATAGGTACTCCATGAGCGTCATCTCCGGCGATGTAGCCGTCATCCTGACAGTTTATTTAACTTTTTCCGAGATGAAAAAGCCTATGACACTGTCCACTGTGTATCACCAGTCAGTACCACTAGTTCCATTAAATGTACCGATTATTTTGTGGAGGAAAATTCACACGGGGAGGCACGATGGAAATTATGAGCCAGTGGGGAAAACACTGGGACATGCGTCACAATCAGAACGATGAATACGACTTTAATAACGAGTCAAACAATTTCTCGAGGAGTTTGAGTGCTCGCCCCACCCCAAAAGTGATAGTCAACCGGTTTCGAAGAACTTCATGGCTTTTTTTGGGAGGGGGGGGACCCGGAGGAATTCTTACCGAATTATTATTATTTTTTGGGCAATTGCCCAATCTTTATCGACACATCGGGGTAATCGATTTAGAGCTCCAGGGTTTGCACACTTGCACACTTGATGGTTATCCACTGGTGAATGACAAAATAGAACACATGCGGGTAGAAAAACTGCCAGCGTGGCAATAAATGCGTCACAGGCGACGCCAAGTTGAGAGATTTGGTCAACTGTCATTGGTCAGCTCTTTGGTGCCTCTGGGAAATTCCGCCCTGTCATTGGTCGATCGGTGACGGTGGAATGCGCGCGCGTTTTTGAGGGGACGATTTGAGATTCTTCATTTTTTGGGGGATTGCGTCAGGTGTAATTATCAGGGGTGATGAGACATGCGAGAAGTTGGTCTAAACTGGTCTTATCGGTTTTGCATGGCAGAAAATAAATATTGATAGGATGGAAATGTGGCCGAGATTTTTTGGAGATGTCCACGTATTTTTCAACTTCAATAATAAGTCGGGGGAACGATTATTAGAGATTGAAAAGTGGAAATGAAAATAGTAATAAAAATGATGGAAATTAAATTTCTTAGATCTGTTAGTGATTTTTATTCATTTATTGATTCTTGTGATTTTTATCCTTGACTTGGTGGAAGTGCAATTGAGGGGTTCAATCAGAGAGGATTGACTAGAGTAGATGCTCGGGTCTGGGGGTTGGAGTGACCCCACTCCAAGGGAGAGGGCACCACACGCAATGCTGGGGTGTCTGCCCGTCAGTCGGTTCGGTAACTGCCTCGAAAATTTTTGGAAATGTATCAGGGGAGCATGAAAATCGAGGAAGTATTCACTGAAATTGAAAAATTCGAAATTTTCAAAAATATATCAGGGGAGCATGAAAATCGAGGAGGTATTCACTGGAATTGAAAAATTCGAAATTTTCAAAAATGTATCAGGGGAGCATGAAAATCGAGCAGGTATTCACTGAAATTTGAAAATTCGAAATTTTTGGGAATGTATCAGGGGAGCATGAAAATCGAGCAGGTATTCACTGAAATTTGAAAATTCGAAATTTTTGGAAATGTATCAGGGGAGCATGAAAATCGAGGAGGTATTCACTGAAATTTGAAAATTCGAAATTTTTAGAAATGTATCAGGGGAGCATGAAAATCGAGCAGGTATTCGCTGAAATTTGAAAATTCGAAGTTTTTGGAAATGTATCAGGAGAGCATGAAAATTGAGGAGGTATTCACTGAAATTTGAAAATTCGAAATTTTTAGAAATGTATCAGGGGAGCATGAAAATCGAGGAGGTATTCACTGAAATTTGAAAATTCAAAATTTTTCGAAAGATTATCAGGGGAGCATGAAAATGGAGCAGGTATTCACTGAAATTGAAAAATTCTAAATTTCATAATAAAAAAAAAACCAATTTCGTAACGCAGAAGATAACATTCACCGCGTCGTGGTGACTGTCGGTCCCCCTTTTGTATTACTGGGAATTGATAACGAAAAATTATACCACCAGCAGGTACCTCCGAGATCTGTCGATTTCCAACACCTTCGACCGCTAATAAAAAAATTCTTCAATTACAAAACGTGATTACAAAAATTGATTCCAGCAATTACTCTCTGGAAATCCTACCCAGCCAATAATGAAAAAAAACTACATGTCAAATACCCAGTGATAAAACACAAAGTATTTTCATATCTGTGTGTCTGATGGTTTTCATTCAATCACGTCAATTATCGGAGAATAATTATTAATTTAATGAATCCCTTGGAACAAACAATAGTGAAGAATTTATTGGAAGTCAGAGTGAGGCGCCATGAATGATCGATCGTAAAGTTGTAAATTAAAATAATTAACTCTTTTGTACTCGATGAACTCTCGAAGCAATTACGAAGAATTCTTTTCCAACGACAGGTTTACGATAATTGGAATAGCATTATCGACCAACAGGTGGTGATAGAAATAATTGCAGTCATCTCGCAACAAAGGATACATTCATTAAAAGCATAAATATGATGCATCCCTATTTCAGCTTTTCCCGCGCCTCGTACATTACAGTAGAATGAGTTGAATGGGTCACGTTGATTCAATTATAACGAGAGTTCAGTGTTACCATGTCACTTAGACGTGATGGATGTAATTAAAACTTCTCCGACATTTTAAAAACCTTTCGTTTAAATGGACATACCCTAGGTAAATGATGATGGAAGGCAGCGATTCTCATGCTTTTTAGATCCACTCCGTTAAACATGAACTAGACTATCGAATTAAAAGCCCATTGGATCGTCTTTCAAGCTCGATTACCTTTTTGTTTATTTATTTATTCGAAAAAACGACAGAAAAGTAACGATTGAGAAAAAAAATTATTCCTACGAAAAAATCTCGTTGATATTTCAAATGAAATTTCTTTTGAGAGAGCAAGAAATATCTCTTCTTCCAGCACCCGAGAGGATAAGAATTTCGAAAAAATCTGGATAACATTGATATCGGAATACCGGCGGTCTGAATGTCACAAACATCTCAAGAAGAGTGGGAAAATGAATGTTCAGGTATAAAATTATTAAAATTCTTCAGTTTCAACTGGTTAGTGAGCCCCGGGGATTGTTCCTGAATTGGCAACATTATCCTTCCGCTGTGCATCCTTTCAGCAATTTACACTCGAGTTTCAGAGTATAATCCCATAATGTATGGGAAAAAAAAATATCCATGCGAATGTCACATGTACATGAGAACAAAAGCACTGAAAATTGAGCGTGTACCCTTTTGCGGTGAAATACCAAGGGAGATAAAACGAAACTTGTTTTATGAGAAAATAACATCTGGTTCTGGGTTGAAGTGTATGCAGTAAGAGTTACAACTAAACTTTTCCAGAGGCAGTGAGGCACACCTTCTGTTTCTCTCATTCTTTTCGTTGGGGTATTTGATATTTAGCACAACGGAAAAACCCTCTAACTCACCGCAACGGGGATTTATTATCCCGAGGAACTGAACGCGTTGTGGAGAATGCAATTTTCTAACTTCATTTCTCATTGGGTGGTAGTTTTATTTGTTGACAGTCTTCACACTTTTTTGTGCTTTACATAATTTTAGGTTCAACGTATTCTCAAAGTGTGCCCTCGAGTCTGTTGACGATGCTTTATCGCTGTTGTCAGGTGGAATCAGCTTCCTGGAAATTCTCAAGGTGTTGGTGAACGTGCATCAATTCATTTTAACGAATTGACAAATTTTCAGGACTGAAGGCGGATGTAGCCTTTCTGAAATGTATCATCGATAATTATATTGATGTTATTAAAATTTATCTGAAATCGAGAAGTTGGAGATATCGCTCAGAAAAATCCTCATTAATTCTACCGCAATATCAAACTTCAGGATACCTCATTCCCATCGTGAATAATTATTCACTCTTGTTGATGGCTTACCTCATACGCATAATACAGCATGATGATGACTATGAGGATAAAGTTGAGGAAACTCCATCCACCCCAAGTATAAATCCTGGACAGATAGGAATAACTGGCAACGGGATTTTGCGCGCAAATACCCATTTTGACACACTCTTTTTTTATTTCACATGTCACATCTACTCGGTATCTTCATTTTCTTTTTATTCTTAAAATATTGCCGGATTTTATTTTTCCAATGTTCAATGTCTAACCCTGTTAATTTTGAGACACGCCAAGACGCTGGATTTTCTGTTTTGTTTCGCAACTCCCAATGGAGAGAAAAAAAAAATGTGAGAATCGCCCTGACGATGGCTTGACAGCATGACAGGTCTTTCGATTTTCCTCCGTGTTAAAACGTAAATCGATACCGACACCCAATTCAATTTGTCTCGCACCAGCCCGATTGCTCCTACTTCCCGTTCAATGAATTTGTTCATTTGATTTATAAAATTATTGACCATGATCTTCGCTTAGTCCAGATCACTCGCTATTGGCTTGTCATTCACTTTTCAAAATCTGTCTTCTGCCTTCGGTGCTGTCATTCACCGTCAAAATTACAATTGCACTGAAAATGGAAAGCAGAAATTTCTATTTGAATTTCGGTAATTTTTCTCTCTGTGCAATCAATCAATCTTTGATATACGCGATGGAACTGAAGTTTCGGGTCCTGAAAATTTTTTGGATACGCCGACTTGACATGTCGAGCGGAAATTAACTGCCGGAAATTAATCCCCCAGGAATTTCAGTGCACTAACTAAAATTTTTAGTGAATTTGAAGAAATCGATTTGAAATTGATAAATGGAATTAATGAATAGTAAGAAAAATACTTCCTTGAGATTAATTCTGGATTGATAACAGCATTGATCAGATTTCACACGTGAACCTGGAGACAATGGGAACTGATTTCACTCCTCGAAGAGTGCAGTTTCGTGGAATTCTACGGCGGAATTTTAATTCACCCGTGATTTCCATTCTTTCCTTTCTTTCCTGCAAACGACTTGAATGCTAATTGAAAATTCAATGCACCCATTGGATTGTTAATGTCTATTTATAAATCATTGATACTCTTTTCCAATTTTTCCTCGGATTGAGTTTAGTGAAACCGTGTGAGCCCCTTGAAGAAACAAAAACCATGAAAACATAAAAAACATAAATAACACGACATGACAACAAACCGAATTCTCCGCAGTTATGATTTTTTTTTCAATCATAAAAAAAATATGAATTTTACGAAAAAATAAATAACAGGAATAAACATCCAGAGGTTGACTTTATAAGTGGAAGAATACATTTTTATCCCATTTTTTTACGAGAAATAAAATTTGAATCTTTCCATAACTCGGAGTTTCGTGAAGTTCGTGGTACCTATAAAAATTCATAAAACCAAAATACTTCATCCGCTATGAAAAATACCTCATCCAACATTAAGGTACGATAAAACGAGAAAGCCTATCTGTACATGGATTTAGTTTGTTCGTAGCACAACCTATAGGATTTGGAGATTAAACTCTGGCTCTGCGTAGACCACATCTCGGCAAAAGCTTTTCGAGCAGATTTAAACTGAAAATTCCTGGTGGGCAATCCCCTCACGTACATGGAGAGAATAAAAACGCACATTGCTCACTATACCAGCCACAATCAATACGCCGACAGAAAGGGCTGATTTGAATCAAGTGGAATTTTTTTTTTTACTCATTTCGTACCTGTCGAA